TAGGATGCTGGCACACCCCTGACCAGCCTGTCAGCTTGAATTTGAGAATTAGGACCTATTGAAGGTCAGGTTCAGACGTGGGCAGTAATTTGGATACTGCCAGGCCATGAACTTTAACTCAGCACACAAAAGGGAATGGGGGTATGGGGGACTTATAACAAGCAGTAAACATAAAAGGAAGTAATATACAGAACATGAGCAACAAGGTAGACATGAATAGAGCAACTGTAAAGTAAACACATAGGGAAAGAGCTGAAATCAAAATTGAGACATACCAGTTTCAGGGAAAACAAATAAGTAAAAACAGCAGTCTTGAAAAGCCAAGTTGCAAGCAAAGCAGTACAAAAGTCTCAGCAGAGAGTAGAGAGTTTGAAAGAGTATTGAAAGTATGTGTGTGAGAGTATGAGTATTGGACTTTAGGATTCAGAAGTTCAAAGTTCTAAAGTTGTAAAGTTTTCAAAGCTTAAAAGCCTGTTCAATGCAGAAGGGTCGAGCCCCTTTTATAGTGCAGCAAATAAGCAAGAAAAATGTAAGGAAATAACATTGTAATCAGTCTCCCTTTAGTTAAGGGATTCTGATTTCAAACGGGTAAAAACAATTAAAGAAAGGGGTTTGAAAAATATTTTCCTAGCAGTATAATAAAGGGTAAGTACATAGAAGCTATTTAAGGCAACAAACTAATAGTACACAGTTTGTAAAAAAAAAAGGAAAGGGAATCAACCAGTAAAATCAAAATTTCAGCCTTTTACTTGAATGAATCAAGTCAGGAAAGGGGTAAAGAAAGGTTCAAGTAGGGAAAATCAGTAACAATCAAGTGAACACAATTAAAGGAATTCGGAATCAATTAGTAGTTGGCAAAACCTTTTTGAAAGAAGAGTTCTCATATATAAAATACACAAATATGTAAATCAAGAAAGGACTATCAAGTTATTTAGAAGAGAGTTTAATCAAAGAAAAGTTCAGAATCATAAGCAAAGAGATACAGGTTCAATTTGCAGACTCATAGTTAGTCTGAGAGTCCAGGGTCCCAAAGTGGAACCCTAACTTGAACACAAAAATCAAATTCGCCAAAGGAAACCCCAGTCCTAGGGTTTCAAATTGAATCATACATGAATGGGAGGAGGCAAGCCATTGAAACAGACTCGAAGGTCTATTCAGAGCCTCATGAGAAACAAAACAATATGATAGCACGTTTGGAACAACAAAGGAAGAAAGCTAATTCAAGATCATAGAGAACATTTTTGGAGAAAACTCGGAACTTAAACAAGTTCAGAAGAAAGAGATGATACAAACGTAAACAAAAGCAGATAAAGCAAGAATATGAACATAGTCGAGTAAAACAAAAAATAAAAGAATCTCAACGGTGAACACACATAGTAAAAGAGTACAGGAAGCATAACAAAGATTAACACAGGAATAACATGTATAGTAGAAAAAGAAAAGTAGAAAGACAATACATGCGTAGTAAAAAAAAAATCACATGAACATGATATAGACAAACACACATAAAGCAAAGAAGAAGAAAAATTAGAAAGATTTTTGGAAAAATCCTTTCAGAAACCCTAAAATCGAAGACGGATTATTTTGAAAAGAACTTTTGGGGAAAACACTTTAAATGGCAAGAAAAGCATAGATACAGTATAGATCTAACCAAATAATGGTGAAAGAACCTCGAATAGCTTAGGGTTTCGGAGAATCCCTAGAAATGAGAAAGGCTTGGAAACATGTCCGATCTTGAGTCGGAGAGGTCAAGAATCAGGTTCTTGAGCCTTGAATCTGCCGGAGCATGGCTGGAGAAGCCATGGAATCAAAGATCGGAGAAGATTGGAGGGAGAACCATCGAAGTCAGCCTTCCAGACTTCGAACATTCAAGGTTTAATGGTGGAGAGGGTGGGTAGAGACCATCCATGGCCTGGGAAGCCATGGATTCCGGTGAAAAAATACAGTGAAGGAAGGTGGGAGGAGGCTAGGGTTCCGAAGAACTAATGAGAGGATTTGAGGCTGTTTTGGGATTCTAGGGCGGCGGGTCAGGTGAGAATGAGGGGGATTAGGGTAGGTCATTTAGTTTAATTATGGAAGGGTGAGTTTTGGCCGTTGATCTTGAGTGATCAATGGTCAAGATTTAGACGGGTAGGTGGGGAACGGGTTGGGTCGTTTGGAATTTGGTCGATTAATTGGGTAGAATTGGGTCAATTTAGGGGACAAAATTGAAATAAAATGGGGCTGTAATTGAAATAGAAATGGGGCTAAATATTAAATAGCCAATTTTCCCTTTTTATTTATAAAAAATAGTAAAGATGATTTTAAAAGTAAATTAAAAATACAGGAACAATTAATAGTGTATAAATATTATTTTAAAAATACTGGACCTAATTTTACAATTATAAATGCTATTAATCTTAAAGTAGGCTACAATTGCAATTATATGCAATTTAGTCTTTTAAATACCAAATAAATTTGTAAAAAATATACGAAAATTCACCCTAGCTATATTTTGGTATAAATATGAGAATAAAATAAATTATTCACCAAAATTGATAGTTTTGGGAATAATTACTGATTTTGTATTGCTAAAATGGACAACAAATTGATTTTAAAAAATCTTTAAAAATTAGGAAAAATATCAAAACACTTGGGCATGCTTATATATGCGTATATATGCTATTTTGAAAGTACTTTGGATATAAAAAATTACATAGGGAAAAATTGGATATCAACAGCTGCCCCTCTTTACCCGGGAAGGATGAAAGAGTTATCGGGTAAAGATATGATGGTCAATTTTGACCGAACGAAACGATTTGAAGAATTTTGACCGAGCTCTGGTTCCTGAGCCGCCTACATATCCTTGGTTTTACAGGAATCAGGTCGTATGTAGTTCAGGATCCGTCGACGTAACATGCCGATGGAGATTTTTTCAAGAGCGGACGAGATATTCAGGTTGGGGTAGCGTTGCTATGAGTTTAACAGGGCTACGGAAACTGGAGCGAGATCACTCCTGCTGAGACGGCTGTTGCTAGCCGGTGTACCTGCAAATGAATAATACCAATATATATTGTGCGCAAATTTAAACGTGATGCAAGTTCCCGTTGGACCATGAATGCTGTCTTTGGACAGTTAGGATGACGTGCTCGGACTATGGTGTCCTAGGCCATGAAACACATAATAAAGGATTCACGGGCTATGAAATGATGCTCTCGGGCTATGAGAATGATGCCTCTGAACCATGATGCCTTTGTATAATGCGATGCAGAGATAAAAGTGGGGTCCTCAGGCCATGGCATGATGTTCTCGGGCTATGAAAATGGTGCCTCTGAACGATGATGCCTTTGGATGATTTTGGCGATCTTTCAACCCATGAAATGCAGGATTTGGCGATCTTTTAGCCGATGCAAGTTTTAATAAAATGGCGATATTTCAACCGATGTAAAGTGTAAATATAAATGGCGATCTTTCAGCCGATGCAAGACTTAAATAAGGTGGCGATATTTAGCCGATGTAAAGTGTAAATATAAGTGGCGATCTTTCAGCCGATGTAAAGTGTAAATATAAATGGCAATCTTTCAGCCGATGTAAGATTAAGATAAAATGGCGATATTTCAGCCGATGCAAGATTAAAATGAAGTGGCGATGTTTCAGCCATGCAAAAATATAAGTAAAATGGCGATCTTTCAGCCGATGCAAGATTTAAATGAAGTGGCGATATTTCAGCCATGCAAAGTGTTAATAAAATGGCGATCTTTCAGCCGATGCAGGATTTAAATGAAATGGCGATATTTCAGCCGTGCAAATGGAGACAGAGCTTATGCAATTATGGAGACAGAGCTTAGTCTCGGAAGGCAGAATAGTAGCCTTATGCAATGCAAAAATGCAAATGGAGGTAGAGCTTAACCTCGGAAGGCAGAATAGTAGCCTTATGCAATGCAAGAAATGCAAATGGAGGTAGAGCTTAACCTCGGAAGGCAGAATAGTAGCCTTATGCGGAAGATGAGAGACGAGTAGTAGTAAAAGATTCTTAGCTGATAGCGGATAGCTGGTTGTTGATTGCGACATTCTGGCTGCTGGGGATATCGGATAGTGGTTGTGAAGCGATAATTTCGGGAGTTGTATTTCTGAAAGTAAGAGTGTGTAAATGGATTTGCTGATTTGTGACTTGGGTGCCTGCATCCAAAGAAAAATCGTGAGTTTTGTAAAGGAACCGGTTAGTTCGCGTTCCCGCTGGGTTCGCTTGACTGGCTTGTCTCTGTTTATGGTGATACTGTAGGTACCCTCAGGGCAGCGTTGTCAAACAAAGCGATTTCGATAATAGGCATGCATGAGTTATGTTAAAGGTATGATATATGTATATATATTTAAAAAAAAAAACAGCTTTAGATGAACCAACGACCGCGACGTGGTTCAAAACATTGCGACCTTTCTTGCTACGGAATTTTGAGGGTCCTCCTCAAAATTCTGCCCCAGTTTAGTGGGTTGCTGCTTCTGACGGCTGCTTGTGGTAAATGGCTGAAATTACTTCGAAATTTTGAGGGTCCTCAAAATTCTGCCCCAGTTTCCAATTGCGGGGGGGGTGGTCAAATTGTGACGGTTTTTTACCCCCTCAAAAAGAATTGTGGCGGTTTCTAGAAGTGCCACATTTATCTTTGCCACGAGCATTTTATGGCGAGTTTTTAAAACCTCCACGACAACCGCCACAAAATGAATTTTTAATTTGTGGGAGTTCTTGAAAATAATTAGTGGCAGTTTAGAACCCCCGCAATATGATTGCAACATGTCAAAAAAAAAATACTGTGGTGGTTTATAAACCCCCTCAATATGATTATAATGGTTCCAAAAAAAAAAATTGTGGGGGTTTTTAAACCCCCACGATATGTTAAATATTTTTTTAAAAAAAAAATTATGTGGGGTTTATAACCGCTGCAATAGGATATTAATATTAAAAAAAATAGTGGCAGTTTATTTCCGCCACAACAAATCAAATTTCATAAAAAATAACCATAGTGACAAACATTACAAATTCAAATTCTTACGGAACTAAACAAAAAGTTTATCATGAACAATGATATCTGATATAGTCACCAACCAACTAAGATAGTAAAAATGTATGTATCATTATAAGATTGAGCTTTATTAATTTTCACTATGAACAGAATGGAGTACTATTTGCTCGCTAAGTCTCCATACATTGTGCCAAAATAACACTGTCATGCGAGGGCTAAACCTTTTACTAGGAAATAATTAATGTTGTGAAAACCTGAACTTGACTTGACTGAGAACAATGGATGTTGTGACCATACTTTCTCAGTTGCTCTGCATCCATGGGTTTCAATTCATCCTCCCTAAACGTTTATACTTGTTTTTGACATGTTTTGTCCTCTTCCCCTGGGATAGAACATCAAGTCTTCTTCATTCTTTAACCTGCCATATTACAGCTTCAAAACTTCAGTTGGATCAAGATATTAATTTCTAAAAGAAAAAGGAACTGTACTTATGAAAGAGTCGAGCATTAACACAATCAAATATTTTATTTTCTGTTTAAATCTGCAATCATGTGGCTAACTTCTCTAGATGTCTTTCTTTTTCACAATGGCGTGATAGCCTGTAAGGCCATCAACACAATCTTCGGGTTATGGTCAGCAGTTATTTCACCCACGTGGCGGAGCTGCTCCCCCACAATGGGGACCCCGAGGTGGTCATCCTGGGCAGTTTCCAGGTTATGATTACCATCAAAGAGGACAATATTCATCTCGCAGCCCACAATATCCACCTCCTGCCTATGGAAATTATCCTCCACAGCAAGCACCAAGAGGCGGATTTGGTCAGGGTTGGGAGCAAAGGCCTCCGGCCTCTATGCAGGGACCTCGGTTACAGGTTGGTGTTTGTAGTTATTAATTGCACTATATAGCCAATGCCTCAGCATTTGCTTCCCTCTTTAACATTCATACTCATGCTTTCTGGTCCTTTAACGGGCCTGCCTTCTCAGGCAAACTACAACTATGAGCAGGCACATGGTCCAGATTATGGCCAGTCATACACTCATCACCAAGCACAGCATGGACAGGGCTATGGGCATGGATACACTGATGTAAAATATGATCACCAGATGGCACCACAGAATCAGTATGGAGGACATGGACCTTCTCAGCCAACTTCTTACCCTCAAAGTGGTGCACATCCCAGCTATGGCACACACGAACAATACGGTAAACCTCCTTCATATGGTATGCATCCACAGGCTTCCCATTCGCAACCTTACAGCCATCCCAGGGCTAATCAACCTGGAGAAGTGCCATATCAGCAGGGTCCAACTCCATCAACTCAAGGATATGGTGCTAGTATGCCGCAGCAGCAGCAGCAATACCCCTATGCATCCAGTGGGCAAATGCAACAAACTTACCCTGCATATGGATCCACCGCTACCGCCGATGGATACAATCACCCACAAGCTGCTCCAGCTTCTGGTCCTGGGTATCCTCAGCAGAGGGCCCAGCCTGTTCCTGGATATGGTCAGCCTGTACCACAACCACCTTCTGCTTATGCCCAAGCAGCCCCTGCTGGAGGTTACAGTTCCTACCCTTCACAGCCTGCTTACACTGAACAGCAGGCGACAAACAGTACACAATATCCTATGACCTTCGAAATACAATATTAACATTGTCAACCTCAGCTTAGAACTCCTCTAGTTTCACCTCCATATCATGTTCTTCGGCCTACAGTAATGGAATGTAGAAGCATGTAAATCATTTCCACAAGATATACATAAACCCCACATTTAGTCATCTGAAGAAATGAATTCAATGGAACATACATTTATCCTGGATGACTATTGTTTATCTCAAAACCAGAACCACACAATGGAACCGAACATTACATGTTGAGGTTTGGGTTTGGTTGGCTAGGACCAAGAGTAGTAGTCAGAGAAGGATTGTAATCACTCGGTCTTCTGACCTTACAGGGTGCGCCCTGGACGAAAAATGCGTGCACAGAGCAGTCAGTTGAACGTAACAACATATACTTGATGTTGGATAAAGAATTATCCATTAACATCTGATAAGCTCCAATAATGATAAATAAATGACTAACAAACGAACAAAAGAGAAAGAAACAGGTCTGAGGAAGTCAGCTCTTATACGGGAAGGGGATGAAAGATGTTGCTTTCAAAATTTTATTGGACTAAACAAGACTCAAGGGATAGCCCTAAAACTATAATTTTCTAGACCCTGCTTTCTCCCAAATGGATAAACCACCTACACAAGAGGTAAAAAATCTATCTTCTTTTAATCGTAACTAGCTGATCAGCTATTACACGTTTTAGGTACCTCAAATATGATGCCATCCAATGCCATGGCATTACTAGCTTCCTCTACTGATCTCATTTCAACAAAAACATACTTCTTTTCATAGTTTATATAGACATTGACAACAACATCCCCTGAAAATTTTCAACAATACTCTGAGCATCTGAAAGGTAAATTTAGTTGTACTTATATGACAAAGGAGGACAAATTTTAAACTAACATGGACCAGCTGTGTTTCTTCCAATTGCAGACATAACATGACTAAAAAAGGTCGCAACCGACTGTATGAGAATCAGTGTCAAGAGAAACAAGTGGTATGTATGAGAGCAATCAGAGATAGGTCATAGAAAATCAGCTTTAACCATGAGGTAAAAAAGAGAAAACTACATGCAGATTTTCTCTCTCAACAGATAGTGACTTCAAGGGATATCTTCAAAAATAAATATCAACTATTTGACATTAGAAATAATAATAATAATAATAATAATAATACATGAAATGAGGTTGGTTCTGTGATGTTTTACTATAAATTATTAAATTTCAAAATATTAATTCTTTAAACATAGACTTGAATAGTACTTTGAGCACCATTCAGAAAATTACCACATAATGAACTACTATGCAATGAATACAGGAGAGAGTGTTCATCTAGTTTGTTTCAACAAATAAACATTATATGAAAATGTCAAAAAGACCAACTATTTCTTGAGATCGGTGGAGGGTGGTCTAATACCTGTTAATTTGCATGAGTCGGACGTCCTCCAACATAAACTCGCCGAGCATGCCTAGTAGCCTGATAACAAAACAAGTTAGGGAAAACTTTAGGTTAAAAAAGAGGAACTCATAAGCACCGTGATCTTGAAAAGGAAATTACTAACACATTAACAACCTGTTGTGTCATTGACTGGATTGGGATAACAGGAAGAACTCCAAACTACCACAACCAACAAGGAACAAATAAAATACAAATATGCTCTTAACTCAGCATTAGCCTCATAGAGTGCTTCTTCGTATTTCAAACTTTTGGCTGATACACCCTTGGTAGTTAAACTGACGATATCATCTGCAAATGCATACACATTGGACTTTGCCTTATATACTACTTCAATATGATGACTTCAACTTCATTATATTTTTGAGAAAATTGCAGTAAAATGGCTTATAGCATGCGTATTCGATTGTTCTGGTATACGTTGATCTTTGGCTGATTACTGTCTGAGTTTTAACTTCATACAAAGATTTACCTTCACCAATATTTTCTCATGCATGAGAATTTTTCTAGGTATAAGCTTCTTTATAAAGTAAAGCTCCGTATGTCAAGCTCTCCCCTAAATGAAATGGTGTTTGTGCAAAGTATAGGATTGCAGATCTTGAGAAGTGAAAGAGTATAAATTTTTTTTGTGACATGTGAACATCTCTGACTAAAGGCACATTTTCCTATCAATCCAAACTTATGCCTCCAATTATCATCAGTGACATGCAAAGATTGAACTCACATTTCTACTTGGAACTGTTTCTCAGGATAAGATTGAGAATCTTGATAAAAGCATTGAATCCACACAACTGAAAAGGGAGTGTTGACAGTACCTAGCCCGATGCTAAAGGAAACATGTTAGGAAACATTCCAGGAATTGGTAGGTTGGTCCCAGGAACTTAACCGCAGATTGCTTTCCACTCTTCTCATCATCAAGCAGGTCCCGGATGGGGAAGTAGGCAGCTTTTTTATAGAGCTCAACAAGATCTGAACCAGTTATCCATCACACAATCCAGCAATGCGGTCATAGTCAATGTTATCTTGTACCTTCTCGCCCCTCAGAATAGTTCAAAATCTCAGCTCTCTCTTTGCAGTCAGGCATACTGATCTCAAAGGCCTGAGGAAGGCGTCGAAGAATTGCTTCATCAAGCTCAGATGGCCGATTAGTAGCAACAAGTACCATAACCCGGGCATTATCTAGATAAGCATTATCTCAGTAAATAAAGTCACAAAACTTTATCGGTAGACCACATTAACTAGCTAAGAGACATGACCATCTCAAATTGCATAACTTGCTGAGAAAATTTTGCAGCAAATGAGTGGTGATTCGTGAATGAAAGCTACTAATAAGGAAATCATCTCATTAAGGAGTGAACCTACGATCTGTGGTAAAACCATCCCATAAAACCATGAATTCAGTCTTCATGTTTGTTAATGCCTCATTGTCAGTAGCCTTGTGCTGACCCAAACAGAGGCAACAAAGATGCAATTGAAAATTGCAGCATGACGTATACTTCAAACGATACGAAGTGAGTATTTACATTTCCCTATTAAAATGATTTTGAAAGAATAAATGAATTCTGTATTAAGAAATATAAGTAAAACAATATAAGGAGTAGAATTTTACATTCAGAAAATATTTGTAACTACCAAACAGGCAATTCCTGGATGAAGATGAACAAGACCTGTTTTGTTCTTCCTTAAACATAAAAGCTAAAGAAGTCTGCTTCACACCCATTGTCAGCACAGTGGGGCAAGTAGCCCAATATTGCCTTCTTAGAACATAAGACAAGATATACAAAACAAACAAACAAACAAACAAACACCAAACACAACAAGAAACCAAAAACCCTCAGTTTCAGAATTACTTCACCAAGTAAACAATAAATAAAAACAAAACAGCCAATCTACTCCATGACTCAATACCATTATAGGTGGAAGTTAAAGAACCAAAACGTAACCATGCATTTTGATATGGACTTCCACACTATGTCAAAGAAAAATGTGACAGTTATCAACATAATATCAGCTGCAACATTAATGATGAAACAAGTACCTGCAGCAGCCGTAGTGCCAGGTAACATTGCAGTGGTAGGAGGTGCCATATCATGATCACCACAGATTAAAAAGAGGTGAATTAAATAAAAAAAGGTGAAGCAAATATGAATATCATTTCTAAATATGCCTTCAAACCAAATATGGATACCATTTCTAAACATACCTATACACCAATAAATGAAATAAATATTACTTAGTTATGCAGTACTGTTACCTTCATATAAAGCAACATATTAAGAAAAATTCTATTCAAACATACATGTATCTGATGCTAAGTTAGTAGCAACATTTGCCTTTGCTACATCATCAATTATATGGTCCGTAGCTAGTTGTACATACTCATCACCATCACTAAAGAACTGTTCGAGTTCTTGCTCTTGGTATGGTTCATTCTCATATACTTCATCCTCCACTACTTCTTCTCCCATATCATACAGATCTCTTGGCTTTAGATGTACAGCAACACTCCACCCTTTATTGACAACATCATCCACATAGTAAACTAGTTGTGCTTGAGATGCTTCGATATAAGGCTCATGTTCTTCACGTTCACCTGTATGAATCAATTTTTCAAAATTAACACAATTTAAGTTCCAACGATCCTTTTTATACCCTCTATCTCGAGCAGTATCAGCCCATCTACATTTGAAAAGAACCACCGTGAACCGACCATTATAATTAATCTCAACAATATCTTCTAACTTCCCATAATATGGTAACTCTGCTTGCCTTAAATATCCGTCTACACTACTTGCAATACATGATGTTTTAGAGGTTAAGAAAACTCCACTATTCTGTGTTTGTAGACCTTCTTCTCGAGCCAAACTTCGAAATTTGGACCCATTGATGTTATATGCAGTAAAACTTCTTGCATGTGCCGATGGACCTCGTGCAAGAAACTTTAGATCAATAGACATTGTATCTATTGTTTCTGGATTCATAATCTAAATCAAAATAAAATTGTCTTAGTGTCATTAAAATCAAATGTAAATAATAACTAATGATTACTTACTCACCCGCTTTTGAAACCAATCAACAAACTCTTTATTAACTCTCCTCTCTATCTCAGTAGGCGATGGTCTTCTTCTTGAACTCCTCCTTATGTACTGTCTAAATTCGCTATAAGAAATAATTACATTAACGTTAAAGAACATGACTAGCCTACTTCAAACATTACAATGATAAAGAATATAAAGTTCGGATGAGTTACTCACTCCACAAATGGCGTGACAATTGCACAGTTCAGAAGCACATATCGATGAGCTTGTAGTTTTTGCATATGAGTTAAAGGGAATGTAACCGAAGCTGATGCAGGTTTACCTAATTGAGGGAAGATAGAGGACCTTCCAGAAGGCTCATTGATATTTGGGTCATCACGAACACGCCTAGGTCTATTGAATCTTGTCTCAATATCCTCAATATACCGAGAACAAAAGGTAAGAGACTGTTCAGCTAAGTAACCTTCAGCTATAGAACCCTCTGGTTGTGCTTTATTTCGTACAAATGACTTAAAATGGCCTAATTCCCTAAAAAAATAATAGAAAATAAGTGTATAAATTATTTAAAATGACCAGAATACAAGTATATTCAAATTAGAAATGTTAATATTTTACCTCTCAATAGGATACATGTTTCGGTGATGCACTGGACCTCCCAGTTTTGCTTCTTCTGCTACATGGACAGACAAATGAACCATTACTGTAAAGAATGATGGAGGAAATAGTATCTCCATGTGGCAAAGTATGCTTTCAATGCGCTCTTGAAGCTTATCAAGCTCCAAAAGATTCAAGGTTTTGCTAGAAAGGGCACGAAAAAATGAGCAGAAGTCCACCAAAACTGCAACTACATGGTCTGGCAACACATTGCGGATCGCTAATGGTAGGAATTGCTCTAAAATAATATGACAATCATGACTTTTCAATCCAAAAATCTTTTATTGTACCAAATCAACACATCTGGAAATGTTACTTGAGTAGCCATCTGGTACTTTAATATTCTTCAAAGTTGTAAGGAACAACTTTTTGGTGTCCACCTTCTTTTTGTTATCAGTCACAAGTGAAAACACAGCAAGATGATATTTTCCACTATCATCCGGCCAAAGATCACGCCTTATGCCCATTTCTTTTAGATCCTTTCGGGCATTAATATTATCTTTTGATTTTGATTTATCATGGAGCAACGTATATATGATATTGTCACATATATTCTTTTCGATATGCATAAAGTCTAGATTATGACGTAACAAGTTAGATTTCCAATAAGGAAGTTCAAAGAATATACTTCTTTTGTTCCATTGTTTAGTTGCTCTTCTAGATCTTTTCCCGCTAACATTCAACTCTACTCCTCTCCCTTCTTCAATTTGTCTCAAAATGTCCGACCCTGATAATTTTAATGGTGGATTCCACTCCTCTGTACTTCCATTAAAACGTACTCGATTCAACCTAAACCTATGATTTCTTCTCAGAAAACGTCAATGACCCATAAAACACCACTTTTTACTATGACGAAGACGACAAGGTTCTGTGTCAAAGTTACAAGTTGGGCAAGCAAAACCAGTATGTGTGTTACAGCCAGATAAGATACCTAATCCAGGAAAGTTACTGATTGTCCACATAAGAGCTGCATGTATTCTAAAATTTTCATTCAATGATGAGTCAAACGTTTCAATACCATCATTCCATAACTCACATAATTCCTTCACGAGGGGCTGTAAGTACACATCTATCTTATTTCCAGGCATTTGCTTGCCTGGAATGATCATTGATAAGATGAAGGAGGTGTGCTTCATACACATCCAAGGAGGAAGATTGTATGGAATCAAGAAGACTGGCCAAATACTATAGGTAGTACTCATTGTTCCAAAAGGACTGAAACCATCAGTAGCAAGGCCTAACCGAACATTTCGAGGATCCGAAGCAAATCCAAAATGAGTCCGATCAAATGTCTTCCATGCCTACCATCCCTTGGATGCCTCATCAACCCATCCTCGTTACTGCTTGAAGCATGCCATCTCATATGCTCAGCAGTCTTACAACACATAAATAATCTTTGTAACCTTCGTTTTAATGGGAAATAACGTAGAACCTTTGCAGCTTGCTTTTTCTTCTTGTTAGGATTCCATTTAGATGTACCACAATGCTTACATGCTTCCAATTCTGAGTCACCTTCCCAGTATAACATACAATTATTTGGACATGCAGGTATCTTGATGTAGTCAAGGCCAAGTTTGCTAATGGTTTTTTTGGCTTCATAAAAGGAAGGAGATAACTTTGCATCTTCAAATGCATCTCTCAACAAATCTAGTATCATAGTCATTGCCTTGTCACTTAATCCACAATAGACCTTTATATGATACAATTTTATTAAAAACTCTAGCTTTGTGTACTTGCTCCCTTCATACAATGTTTCACTTCCATCTTTGAGAAAATCATGAAAGTCACCAGAATCCTCCCTATGCCGCTCATTTGATGTTTCATTTGAACCCAATGGTTCAGATATCCCTACATCAGCCGCTTGGTGCCTATAGTGCCCAAATGCATCGTTAATCATTGTTTCTATTGGATTTTCTGGGTGAAACATCTCTTGCATAACATCTCTATCTCCAGAAGGCTCTACTACCTGTTTCTCACCATGAAGATTCCAAATGACATAATTTTGAGGGACTGGCTTGCAAATTAAATGATCCTGCACTATTTCTCTTGTTTGCCACTTGCCAAAACCACATTTAGGACATGGACATCTGATTGTATGTTCCACAGCCGCATTCTTAAACGCAAAATCAAGAAATTTATCCAAACCACGCAAGTATTCGTTTGTGTTCCGTGGCTTTCCAATCCATGATTTATCCATTGGAAAGTAATAAATAAATTAACAGGAATCGATTAGAATATACCTCCAAAAGCAGTCATCCAAGTCTACGAGTATCTTCAGATTTGACTATGCTTCCAATCTACTCCAATAATTTCAAATGCTCTTTCAAACAAAGTTAATTCCAGAAACTGACACAGGACAGAAAGAACCAGTGAAGAATTCCTACAAAGGACTCCTTATATGTATGTTCGTTCATATATCTAAGGATAGCAAGCAGTAGAAAAAACAGGGCCAGAAGTACAGACGAAGAAAAACCTAATTAGAAGAAATTTCAATATTCCCCACGGTTATTGCTTATGCAGGATGGACTTGCCGCTTTCCTTGCTTAAAATAAACCGTCAGTGCTTCCAATTATTTAAAACTTTAACAATTTATGAGAATTAATAGTATTATAATATTAATATAGAGAACTTTCCCACTCTTATGAGTTATGGTAAATATTAAGTGCTTTAAAGAAGGTATAAAGTTTTTAAAATTTGTGACCCAAAAAGGGCAAGGATTCTGAATAGAAAATAACGTTTAGGGTTAAGAAAAATGTCTTTGGGGCACTAAATAGCTTTTCCTCTATTCATTTATTTTAGTTTTTACTAATTTTTGGATATGCTTTTACGGATGTATCTAGATAAATAATTATACGATTAAAAAACCAATAAAAATATTAGATAATATATCTAAGTTATAAAATACAAATTAAAGAAAAATTATAAGCTCTTGAAAATAATTAATATTGATATTATTTAGCTAGATCAACATAGGAAGAATTTTGTCATATAGAAATCCAATTACATATAATGAAACCATTGATAGAATAATATTCTAAAATAAAATATTGATGAAACAAACGTAAATTCAAACAACATACACATAGACTCCGATTGGATCAACCCATTACTTCTTCCATCACGTCTCACAAGAATGTCATAATCAATTTGAGTACCAACAGATATAGTTCGGCACTAATTTATTTAAAATAGCTGATAAATGATGAAAAGTGCATATTTTTGAGTATATTTGTATATTAATTTTTGTGTGTGTCGCGAGAAATTACATGATTTTTCGAAGTGAGATATACTCATTAGGTGTTTCTTACGATTTTGGATGATAAATGATCAAAAGATGATAATTCGACACAAAAAGAAGAAATTAAAGGAGTGGGAGCTCGTCTATTCTCGTGCGTGGCACGAAGTCGGACGCGAAAAAGGAGAAAATTCAAGGCACAAAACAGCGAAGCGAAGCAAAGGCACGAAGCGCTTCGCGAAATGGAAGAATCTCAAAAGCTGGATCCGCGTCAAAGTCCGCGTCTAGACGCAAAGGCAAACGCGGATCCGCGTCAAAGTCCGCATGTAGACACGAAGGCAGACGCGGATTCCAACTCTCCCATCCGAAGTTGGATTGAAGAATTCCGCCCCTCATCAACCCTAGGTCATATAAATACATCCTAAAACACCACTTTGAGGGGAGACGCCACTTGGGAGTAAAGATACACACGGGATCGTGAGGAAGCAGAGAATTCTCAGTTTTCTTCATCTTTTTCCAGTATTTTTTCAATTAATCCAAACTTATGAAATTGTTTGATTACATCATGAGTGGCTAAAACACCCATTGTTCTGGAGTTGTGATTAAGCCATGAATATTGTTGTTTGATATTAACTTAACCTTGATTATAATTCACCAACATATGGTTGTTTCTTCAATTCTGTGTTTAATTGCTTAATTGGCTGGCCAGCAGTTAGGTTCTATTTACTATCTATGCTATGCTTGGGAAAGCCGTGTTTAGATTAGAGAAGAATTGAAGAGAGCATGATCTTAACCCTTAGGGGGAGCGGATTTGTGGTTAGGATAGGAATATACCTAGTCACCGTGCTTAATTAAATATCATGATCTTAATGCGTTCTTAATAGATTGATTTCATAGGAATATAGGCGTTAATCTATTGAGAATAGGTGAGTAGTACTTCGGGAGAAGGCTATGAGAGCATTTATTGATTAATTAGCAACCATGAGTGAATTATATGAAGGGGAGAGTTAATTAGAACACAATACGATTGGTGAACCGATCACAACCCTGAAATATTTGTCTCTACTGAATACACAACAATCAACTCGTTACTTGATAATTTAGTTATTATTTAGAATCATAGTATAATATAATCATATTATTGGACCTTGATTTTAGCTGGATTGAATAACAATTTTAGTGATTTAGTGAGTAGTTTACACAAGTCTTTGTGGGTTCGGCACTCAACTTATCATTATATTACTTGTCGACCACGTATACTTGCGTGTGCGTTTGGGATCAACAAGGCTACGCAAAAGAGTCCTTGAATCCGAAGCCAGGCATTTGGAACAACACAAGCTCGACATGGAATCAATTAACGAATGGAAGGAAATGGCTACAAGATCGACAGAAAGGCTGAAATACTTGGAGCAGGGTCTAATGGAACTGGAAGGAAAGATGAGGAAAAGGGTCGGACTATCAGAATGCAGAGGGCAACGAGGGAGGACACCTAGCAAGGGCGTACCTGCTGTTGGACATGCACAACTTGGAGAATCTAATCGACGGAGCCAAGAAGGTCAAATATGGAGAAGGTCCCTCCCGGACCAAGTAGATTAGATTTAGCTATTTTTCCGAAATGTTTTTGAATGTAATAAGGCAAATGCCATTAGTAACTCATTTATTATTGTTGTTTTTAGGTTCGTCTTATTTATTACATTAGTGAAATAAGGCATTTATCGGCATTAAATCTCTCCAAATCTACTTGTCGCTAGGCTTACCTCGGGCACAACAAGGTTCCCCAAGTTAGGACGCGACTTTATATTCCTGCAATACATGTTTAAAATACTTCAAATACTTTTCAGAATCCTTACTGACTTGTTTACCTTTTTGCATTTTTCTTTATTTTGATTATTCCCATCCCCTAAGGTTGGTTCGCACATACTGGCATCGTCAGCATATCACACCAGATCCAGAGGCCCTCCACCTCCTCCCTCTCTAAATAATCCGAAAGGCAAGGGAAAAGCTAAGATGGATGATATGAGTGGTATCCGGAAAGACAATGCTACACATGCTGAGAATATTGAAACTTCAGACGGTTGGAGTACTCCGGACCAGAACGATTTGGTCCTACGATTGGAACAGAAAATATTAGAATTGCAAGGGGAACTTGAGTAAGTTCGCAACTTGGCAAACCTCTCCCTCACCCTAAACCTCTCGCACCCCATCAATACGCAACACCTCCCCAAAATCCTAGTCCTCCGCCCATACCTACACCTCCTCAACACCAGCAACTCCCGACTCAATACTCACAACCACTTACCATACTCCTCAGAATACCCCGCAGCCTATCCCTGATCTACAAAATTCAACTAATGATCACCACTACACTCAAACCCCCAGCACCCACCAAAACAATCCCATATACGTAGAAGCCTTACCCCACTCCGCTCAACCAATCTCATACATACCAGAATCCGGCGAGAAGTACTTGCTCATTAAGAACATGGCGGAGGAGCTCAAGAAGCTCACAAGCTGAGTCCAGGGTGTTGAAGGAGGCAAAGGAATAGAGGGTTTGAATTATGAAGATCTATGCATTCAGCCAGACGTAGAACTGCCGGAGGGTTACAAACCTCCCAAGTTCGAGATGTTCGACGAAATAGGTGACCCAAAGGTACATTTAAGGACGTATTGTGACAAGCTCGTGGGAGTTGGGAAAGATGAAAGAATTTTCATGAAGCTATTCATGAGGAGTCTCACCGGAGACGCTCTATCTTGGTATATCAGTCGAAATCCCAAGAAGTGGGTTAATTGGGTAAGCATGGCATCGGACTTCATGGACTGATTCAGATTTAATACAGAGAATGCATCGGACGTCTTCTACATACAGAACGTTCAGAAGAAACCAACGAAAACTTTCCGCGAGTATGCTACTTGATGGAGGTCAGAAGCTGCAAAGGTTAGGCCGACATTGGAAGAAGAGAAGATGAACAAATTCTTCGTTAGGGCCCAAGATTCACAATACTATGAAAGGTTAATGGTCATCGAAAATCACAAATTTTCCGACATCATCAAACTCGGGGAAAGGATTGAAGAAAGGATCAAGAGCGGGGTGGTAACTAATGTTAAGGTATTGCAGGCTACGAACAAAGCATTCCAGCCAGGGGTTACACCAAAGAAGAAAGAAGTAGGGTAGTGATGGTAGCCCAAGGTCCAAAATCCCCACTCACATACCAAACACCCCCACCAACATACCAACCTTCACCTCTCAGATATTCTCAACCCGCTACCGCCTACCATACTTATAACACTCAGCCAGCCTATTACCATTCACCTCCAACCCGTCCAAACTATCAAAAATCCAGACCCAATTTTGATGGCTGCCCAAACAATACACCCGTATTGCTGAGCCCATCGACCAGCTATACGAAAGACTGAAGGTTGCCCTATATGTCACCCATATTCCCGTTGTCGCCATGGAAAACTCCTCCCTATGGGTTAACCCGAACAAAACATGTGTGTACCATTCCGGCATGAAGGGGCATACTATTGATGCATGTCACACTCTGAAAGACAAGATTCAAACCCTAATCGATACCAAAGTCATACAAGCAAAGGAAGCCGCACCAAATTTCCGCAACAATCCCCTCCCAGATCATAGGGGTGAAGGAGTAAATGTGATAGAAACTGACGAAGAATGGGATCCTGAAGGTTCAATCGGGCTTATTCGGGAAGGTGACGACCCTCAGAAGCCTGCAGTCACACTCACTCCTATTGTGGCATAGATACAACCATAGGTCGAAGTCGAAATAGCCACATCAATTCCGTTCGAAATTGAAGTGACAGCACCTGCAACTACACCTACTCCATTTGAAGTAGAAGTAGCCACACCCTTCACTATGATGGTAGCATCCACACCATACTTCAATTCCAACGCCATACCTTGGGATTATGTTGCCGAAGCTAAGAGGAAAGGAAAAGCAAAAATGGAAGAGCCTGGTGCTTCACAAGGGATGACCAAAACTGGAAGAATCTATACACCTGAAAATTTGGGAGGAACAAGCAAGGAAGCTGCTGCCAAACAACCCATCATCAAAACTGGTCTAGATGATCTCTGGAGGAAAGTACAGGCAAGAAAACACTCTGTTGTTGACCATCTAAACAAAACCCCTGCTCAGATTTCCATTATGTCGCTGCTACAGAATTCTGAGACGCATAGGAAGGCGTTAATGAAGGTGTTGAATGAAGCGTACGTGCCCAACAACATCACCAGTGGAGAGATGGCCAACATGGTAGGGCAAGTACTGGAAAGCCACAAGATCACCTT